TAATTCTCTATAATTTTTAACCTATACATAATTTCTCTAAAATGGACCGTATTCGAGATATTTGAGAAAATGTGTAAATTTCGAATTTTGAAGAAAACTCAAAAACGGATAAAGAAAAAAACATTAAATTTTAAACTTAAGGTTTATTTCGGCCTGACGTGAAATGATTAGATTTTGGACAAAGTCGGAACATCTAGGGGGGTACTTTATGGGAGGCCGTTTTTATATTTTATGGAATATATCTTTTATTTATGTTGGGAGAAGAAAATTGTTCAAATAAAAGTTACTTCTAATATTATTATCTATAATTTTTGTTTTATGTCAAAATTTCCTGAAATGGTCCGTATTCGAGAAATTTGACAAAATGTGCAAAATTCTGAATTTTATGAAAATTGTTGAACTAAAAGTTGTTTGCCATATCGATCTCTATAATTTTTGTTTATACATGATTTTACTAATGGAAAAGTGCTAAATTTAAATTTTTCAGTATTTTCGTTTTCAATGAATATCTATAGAAAAATGTTTCGAGGTAGATGTATGTGGACAATGTATATATTTAGTTTATTAAACATTTATAGAGATGCTGCAATAGGTTGTACAAAATAACCGGAAAAAGCCTATAATAACTAGATAGGAAAGTCATGTGTTGGGCACATCAGATTTTTTACTGAAGAAAATTGAAAGTGGGTCGCACTAATGACAATTTTAAAAATCAGCCGCGGGCAGCAAGCGGCCCGCGAGTCTGACACCCTTGCTCTAAACATTTACAGGGGTGATATAATAGGTTGTACAGAATAACCGGTAAAAGCCTATAACTTTAGGTAAGACAGGAAAGTCATGTGTTGGACACCTCAGATGTTTTTATATTAATGCTTAGTTGTCACAATATTTGGATGTGCCAATTTAAATGCCTCACCCATTATAAAAACGAAAATATAGACAAATTAGCAAATGACGACCTAACTAGGAGGAAAGTTAATATTGATGTTATTTTTGAAAGAAACATCCTATCATCAAAATTTTGTCGGTTTATAAGTTTTTATCTTATGTTCTACTTAATAATAATCTTAGGTATTCTATTTAAACGGCGCTACTGATCTTTCGGTAATTTTCGGAATGAAAGAATTTATTTTTTTAGTTTCAGATAGTGATTTGGTCACATGAGATAACCACAGAAATTGCTAAAGACTGTACATTATTTCGTCAGTTTACAAGCAAATCACACTAGGTTAGAATTTTTATTTTTGACTTATTTGCTTCATTTTGACTGAAATTCTTCCGCTCTATATACTGGTAAAATCCACTATGCCCTCTAAGAATTATAACCTTATTTTTAAATTATTTTCATATTCATTAACAGGTTGGCGCCGACATTGATAATGACAGACCCAGCCCAAAGCCGCCAGTGTGTAAAATTTGTGTACAATTCTAAATATTTTTTAAAGTTCTTTGTATTTTTATTGTATGCTTAGATTTATTTCTGCCTGTTGTTTTGTAATTTTTTCTTGTACATAGTACATGATGGCTACGGGAGTTATTTCCTGTTAATGTACCACTTATAATCAGTAAATGATGACGTTAAGAGGTAAAAAAAATCGTGTCCTTGGTGCAGTCCGAATCTGCTACCAACCAGCACACTTCTCTTATAACCTTTGAATTATAGAACATTCAATTCTTATTTATAAAGGTTTTATAGTTGTTTCAGTAATTCAATACTGACTCATAAATACTTATAGCAAATGATGCAATTTAGTTGTTGAAAACAAAATAGCGCTATAACATTGTTATATAAATAAAAGTTACTTCTTATATTATTATCATCTATAATTTTTGTTCTATACAAAATTTTCCTAAAATGGTCCGTATTCGAGAAATTTGACAAAATGTAAAAAAATATTTTTTTATAAAAATTGTTCAAACAAAAGTTGTTTGTAATATAATTCTCTATAATTTTTAACCTATACATAATTTCTCTAAAATGGACCGTATTCGAGATATTTGAGAAAATGTGTAAATTTCGAAATTTGAAGAAAACTCAAAAACGGATAAAGAAAAAAACATTAAATTTTAAACTTAAGTTTTATTTCGGCCTGACGTAAAATGATTAGATTTTGGACAAAGTCGGAACATCTGGGGGGTACTTTATGGGGGGCCGTTTTTATATTTTATGGAATATATCTGTTATTTATGTTTGGAGAAAAAAATTGTTCAAATAAAAGTTATTTCTAATATTATTATCTATAATTTTTGTTTTATGTAAAAATTTCCTGAAATGGTCCGTATTCGAGAAATTTGACAAAATGTGCAAAATTCTGATTTTTATGAAAATTGTTGAAATAAAAGTTGTTTGCGATATCGATCTCTATAATTTTTGTTTATACATAATTTTTCTAAAATGGACCGTAATGGAAAAATTGTAGGAAAAGTGCTAAATTTAAATTTTTCAGTATTTTCATTTTCAATGAATATCTATAGAAAAATGTTTCGAGGTAGATGTATGTGGAAAATGTATATATTTATTTTATCCTCTAAATATTTATGGAGGTGCTGCAATAGGTTGTACAAAATAACCGGAAAAAGCCTGTAATAACTAGATAGGAAAGTCATGTGTTGGACACATCAGATTTTTTTTTATGTAATGCCGTGTAATGCTTTGTTGTCTCAATATTTGGATGTGCCAACTTAAATTCCTCACCTTGTTTATGTTATTTTGTTTATGTTTATTTTTTTGTATAATTATTTTTTCTGTGGTTATATTAGGCAAATTCAACCACTCGAAAAATCGCAAAAAGCGAGGTTTTTTGATCCCTTAATTTTTTCCACTAGTGTATTATACAGGGTGTTTCATAATATATGCGCAGGACTTCAGGACGTGATAGCTCGTCCAAAAATATGAAAAAACGTTTCTATTAACTTACCCTCTAAAATGCACCATTTTCGAGATACAGGGTGTTGAAATTGAAAAAAAAAAAAAAAAAAAAAATCTACGCCACTGGAAAAAGTACGGTTTTGAGACGCCCATTTGAACCGTCAATGTTTTCTACACAAAAAAGGTACTTTTGGTCATACGCTCTAAAGTCGACCGTTTTCGAGAAAAATCAAATTTTTTTTATTTCCAAAAATTGACCATGTAGCTATTTCAACATTAAAATTTCTAGGTTATAACTTGGTGAAAAATTAATCCAATTTAAAAAAATAATGTGTCAAAAGATTGGAAAAAAAGAGACCTTTAAGAAGAACTATCACATGATACCCCTTTCTATTTAAAATTTTAGAAGTGATATTCACCACCGCTTAGGGGATGAAACTGCACGGTTACAGATACTTGTAAAATGTGTTCCCCCAGTAAATATAAATTAACGTGTTTTTTTGTTTTAAAGATATTTTCAAAGTTATTTTGGGTGGCTAGTTTTGAAATGAAATCCCTGTATATTAATGATAGTGACAATTAAAAAAACATAAAATTTATTTAATTTTCACTTTTTGTTTGTAGAATGTGATTTTTTTAACATAATATTTTTCAAGTTTTGCTTGTATTTTTTGTTTAACTTTATTAATAATACCTTTTGACATATATGAACAAAAAACCTAAAAAAACCTTAAAAAATCTCATATATTTTTAATTTCTTAGGTTTTTCCAACCCTGGTCAAGAGACTTAAGGACATAACATTTTCAAAGCAGGTATGAACTCTAGTATACCTATCTATGAATGAATTATATTTAAAATGTTTTAAGCTCTATATACAGGGTGTTTTTTAAACATGCTGCAAAAATTCAAGGGGTTGTTCCTTAGACTATTCTAAGAATATTTTGTCCTTTGATGATTTTTGAAAATCCGTTTTGTTAAGTGGAAAAAGTAGCCGTTTTAAGTAATTGGAATGTTGTTAAAAAATAATAAAAATAACGAATTTTTAAAAAAGTTGTATGTTCTCGTAGGTAGTACCTATTTTTATTTAAACTATTAATAATTTTAAAAATAATAAAAATAGTTTTCTCGAAAATGTTGTGCGCCCTGTATCTCCTAAACGGAACGGAATTTTAAAAAACATCAAAGAACAAAATATTCTTAGAATAGTCCAAGGAACAACCCCTTGAATTTTTGCCTCATGTTTGAAAAACACCCCATATACTAAATTTCTTGATTTTCTTTTAATTTGTATATCTTCATAGTACACCCTTCTTAAATATCGACATTTTAGTATAAATTGATTCATTTCTATGTACCAGTGAACCTGTTAAAATCTTCTCGTGAATTTTTAATTAAATATTCGAAACCCCTTTGATACGCCTATGTCCGCAACAACAAATCCGTTCCCAACTTGCAGTAGGTACACAAATATCACGGAAAGTGTCGCCATTTGCGATCATCGACCAATTTTCGTACACAACCATTCAATTTCCTCCGTAATAAATGACGCTATTTCACAGCTAGTTACAAACCACGATATTTTTAGAATGTGATTCTTATCTGTTTTTTTTTGAGGTTCATATCAAAATCGAAAACAATGCAGCCTTATCGTACATATTGCGGTTTTCTACAAACATACCGAATCGAAAACAGGTGGACTGAAAAATGGAAAAACTTTTGTTGAAGCAGAAAGACAACAAGGTCATTGTACAACGAAAGAGACGTACATTACGTCTAGAAGGCTTAGAAAAGAGAACGAAACGCTCGATCTAGATATCCACGGAAAAGAAACATTCAAGAATCGAGACCGTTACGTGCGAGAACCGGCAACAGCGCTCTATACCGGACTCGCGTTCGTTCACACGAGATTCTGGAACACCCGCAATGGTTTCTTCTAGATACCTACACTACATACAGCCTTTTAACGATAACTATTAAAATCACTATCAAATATCGCAGATTTGCATGCACTCGAAAAGATAATTGCGAGATAATGACGAGGATAAAACACATATAAAGCGAGAGATGTGACAGTTTGAAATTTACATTTTACTTATCAGTAGCTAGTTTATAATCAAATAAACAAATGTAATGAACAGTACGTTCGTTACATGTTTCCTTATCAAATCGAATTCGCTTCGTGATATCAGTTTGAATAAGAAAACAACCAGAAACGTAAGGATCTACCGATACGAATGTAAATATTTTAGAAAGTGCACCAAAACAGCTCGAAAACATCGTCGTTGTGGCCAAAATAAGCTAAAAAATCGATCGCTACGTTTAAAAATAATCGAGATGTTTGACACAGATTCAAAAACGATACGTCGTACGTATTTTATTGTAAGTTAACTTACCAAGGCGAAGAAATTAGTGTGGCAGTCTTCTAAACTAGCTCCGTTAGTTTGAAAATTTGGATGCGTCATATCTGATCCATTATTAAAGGGTTTTCTTCACGACACATAAAAGCACCACTGCACGTCACTTAAATCTCAAAACCACATTCGAAAACCTTACATTTACCCGAGATTTTCACCTTTCTATCGCAACTGCAAAATGGCGGAGACCACGAAACAACAAGCCGAACTAAAATCGGCTCTCTGTACAAAACTTACAGATTCTTAGTACGGGATTAGTCCGGACGTACGTCACTTACACCATCAGCACACTTTTCGTTCGCGGAGTGCTGCGTAACACACGGAGCGTACGTCCTAGCTCACTCCGCGCGCATATCCAGTCGAAAAATATGGCAGCGTTTCTACGGCATGCCGTTTTCAAAACAGGACAAGTCTCCACAAAAAACGTAAATATAACCACTGGATTAGTTTAAAAACCACTCGAGTACACTCGTCAGTTCAACACTGTTCGATAAAAAAACCACTTCATTTTGTCCTCTTTGCTTACGCCACTGTTTTTGTTACTAATGTTTGCACTTGTTCAAATTTAAAACCACACTTTTTTATTTTTAGGTCCTCCTGCGGTCGTACGCGACGAAAGCTGAAAAGAAGAAAGGAATCGACAGGAAAGTTGGCCCAAAAATAGACTCCACAGCTCAATCTTTGGCCTCTAAAGGGTGTGTACTTTCAATTTAGATCAGCATGAAGTGCGTCTGTCTCTCAACGGGAGCCATTGCTTTCGCCTAGCTTAGGCTGATGGCTCGCGAGGGGGCGACACCGCACGGAGTCAATAAATGTGATACTGCGCGTAGACCGATACTCGCTATATGGAATATTTATAAGTTCGGTTCGTTTTGAAATTGCAATTTATTTCGCTGGAGTTTCACGTTTTTTGGCCTTGCTGTCGCCTCCGATATTTTGTAATTAATTTAATCAATTTACTAATCAAACCTACATATCCATCACTAGGTATTGACTAATCACGTACCTAATAGGTATTTTAACTAGTTGTTATTTTACTTTAACGTTTTTAGAGAAACTGGAACTGACGAGACAATGAATTTAACATAGATAAAACGCATTTTTTGATAATTACTATTTAGGTACTAGGTACCGAATGCGATTCCAGATTAATACGGAATTAATTTTAACGATTTTTATTGATTTGATTTGTTTGTCTTTTATAGAGGTAGCACAATTAAGTATTTTGAAGAAGAAAAAAGTCTAAATACTAAAATTTATTTTATTGAACGGTTTTAAACGTCAAATATATAAATAGGTACATTTTTAATACTTTTAAACTAGAAATAATTTTAAAGAGTAAAACCATACCGACATCTAGCGACAAGTTGATGTTATTAATTTGACGGCTTGTCAATGTTAACTACCAATATTAAAAATTTAAATGTACCTAGTTTTAGAAATTTCAATACTTTATTCATTTTTGTTGAACAAAATGGTTTAGATGTACTTTAAAGTGACTTTTTGTCGATAATGGTTTGAAATTAACATTGGAATGGAAGCGGATATGTTTAATTATTATAAAAACGAAAAGACAGAACCGGTTCAAGGCACAGCAATAAAGGACCACGCACTTTTCTTATGCAAACGGGAGTACCGTCAAAATGTTTGATAAGTAAATTACTTGATGTCTCTCAAAATTGTACTTTGCCCAATCCTATGACTATATTTTGAGATACAGGGTGTTGAAGTAGAAATTCCTACCTAATTCTTAATGGACGCAAAAAAAAATTATATGACAAAATTGTGGCAGCCCATGTAATCCTGGTGATTTGACAAGGTCAATGAAATAGATAAATTGATCATCCATATTTTTCAAAATAAATATAATAAGCTTATAGCTTGAAGTAAAAATGTAGATAATTATTTTTTTTACTATATTCGAAGGCTGAATATAGGTTTGTTAACACATTTTTGCAAAACCGATTCTGATTAATATGCAAATACGAGGCAATATTGCCAATCGCAAACGACCCACTTTGAGCAATCTATATAACTACACATATGTACCATTGACCCTCCACAGGGTTGCCATATCTAAAATGTCTGCTTCCACTTGTCGCGCATACATTAGGTCTTTTTCTTTGCATCGAAAGTGTAGCACTGAGCTACACCACTTCTGAAAATATCGTTCCGTTTATACAAATTGTATGGATAGAACGATATTTTCAGAAGTGACGTAGCTCAGCGCTACACTTTCGATGCAAAGGAAAAGACCTTTTGATTACTATACGAGGCAAGAGAGAGGTCCGACACGCCCAACATAGGGCGCGGTCATTTTGAACCCTGTGACACAGTTTACAGCTAAAGAATCAGATCGCTCACTCTGCGTCGGCAATAAACTGTGACTTCAAAAATAATATTCACTGACACTGACAGCAGCAAGCAAAATATCAGGTGCGTTTTAATCATCCGCTTCTGCTTCCGGAATTGTCGGTTTAGTCGTTTTAACCTGTCAGATTAAAACCAGAAAACCGACAATTCCGAAGCAGAAGCGAATGATTAAAACGCACCTATTAAAAATATTGCGCCAAGATGTAGGCAACACGTAATAAGGGTTCAAAATGGCGGAGTTTTCTATCTCCTTTTAAAAGGCACTCAGAAAGCTGCGCAGTGCGACCATTCTCCGTATAGTAAAAGAAAATCAAAGTATGTGGCTTGTCGGCAGATTGACAGGTCGTTGGCATACTTATTATTAAAAATATGAGGTGTAGAGGTAAGGAGTGCACTCTCTTATGGATGGCTTAATTCTAACACCTAGTAACCCACAAAGAGTAAATTTTACAGTAGATGCAAAAAAATATTTCCTGGCACAGGTTCGGACTTGTTAGAAATCGCGGGAATTAACTAGATATAATTTTATTTGGCACAAGAGGTTTTAGCAAAGATATCGGATAGATATTAGGTGTTTTCCTTTGCATCGAAAGTGTAGCACTGAGCTACACCACTTCTGAAAACATCATTCCATTTATACAAATTGTATGGATGGAACGACATTTTCAGAAGTAACGTAACTCAGTGCTACACTGTCGATGCAATGGAAAAGACCTAATATGTCTATGGGTTTTAGTGACCGATAGTGTCCATTTTCTGTTAATGAGTAAACGTAAAAACGTGTATCAAAACAAAGGAGAAAATAACGATACTTTATATTCTAAGATAAAAATATAAATAAAAGATCAATGCTAGCGTATTTAGTGATCTGTGTATCTAGCAGTGTTGCCAATACCCAAACTTGAAATTATACAGTGGCTGGGTACAAAAGAGACGCTTTTTATACGCCTTTTTAACTGACTTCAAAAAAGGAGGAGGTTATCAATTCGTCGCGATATTTTTTTTTTGTGTATGTTCAGCGATTATTCTTTAACATGGTGTCCGATTTCAATGATTCTTTTTTTTGTTAGAAAGGGGGTACTTCAGGGGTGGTCCCATATAAATTTAGTCAAAATCTAATAATTGGGTCCATGAGAAAATCCTCAAACTCTTCATTTTTTATGTATATTTAGCGATAATGCTTTACCTCCTTGTCCGATTTATGTGATTCTTTTTTTTGTTAGTAAGGGGGTACCTCAGGGGTGGTCCCATATAAATTTGGTTAAGATGTGGCGATGGCATCTGCACGTTTTTGAAGTCGGTTTTTTTAAATTTTTAATTTCTAATACTTGTTAGATTTAGCTTTGTAGCCACATCTTTGCATTTGAGGATATCAAATTTGTGTTGCTGCCAGGTTCGGATTTAGGTTTGTGAGATGGGGCACTGCCGACAGAATAAATGTAGCAATGCCAAAAGCCAAAGGTTCCAAAGCAAAATGCATTTCAACAATATGAACAATGGGTCCTATGATTGAACGTTTACGTTATCCGTAACGTACATGTTAGGCCGAGTTTTAACAGTAACGAGGCAAGTTCGTGTGATGGAAAACTTTTTCCAACACATTACTGTTATTTTCCGCTTATTATGTTCTAATTTAACAGTTTTCCATCACACAAACTTGCCTCATTAATGTTAAAACTCGGCCTAACATGTACGTTACGGATAACGTAAACGTTCAATCATAGGACCCAATATCTGACAGTTTCTGTGTGACTTATTGATTTATTCATTTATAAAATACTATTTTTGTGAACTTTTGTGAGAAATATAAAGAATTATGGTACATGCATGTGTAGTGTTCAAAAAGTCGAATTCATTTAAGTCGAAATGTATGGTTTCATCGGTAAGTATTTTTAGGTTAAGATATGTTGTTTTCATTTGAACCAGTGGAGTAGGGCTTGTACAAGATTTGATACAATTTCTTATAGAATTTAAATTATATAGGATCACATAGTAAATTGTTTGAAAAATGATTATCCAATCTAATTTTTCAGACAATTTACTGCAGGTTTGATAATATACAATTTAAATTGTACAAGAAATTGTATCAAAAACTTGTGTAGTCTAAAACAGTCTTAAAACAGTTTTTTAAGTGATATTCCTTTTATAAATTAGTAAATTTTTCTTATACCAATAAATAAATATTGAATAGTGGCAAAGAAAATTTAACGTAAAATGTAGAATACCTTAAAAACGATTTACCTATTGAGCACCTATACATATTTTTTATTACTTTATTTAGGTTTCCGCAAGATCCTGAGAAAAGAAAACTTTGGTTTTCTCTAATAGGAATCCTTGAAAATCGGCCCCTTCGAAAAAAACCCAGAGTTGTGTTTAGAACACTCTGTTTTCCTGAAAATGTTTTGGTACGTGCAAATGGTACTAGATATATTAGAAAAGATGCAAACTCCAGACGGTGTGAGGGCTTTCTATTTTTGGATGACTTATCCAACAGGTAAAAATACAAAATATTAATTTTTTGTTTACCTCTAAACATTATTTATTACATATATGTATGTATATCTAATGTATGGGGTTTTTAGTTCTGATTCAACTGTTTTTGGAACACCACCTGCTGCAAAAAGAAACGTTGCAGTAAGTTATAACATTAATAACTAAGCATAAAAAAATTAAATGAAATTTTAGTTAATAAAATTAAAGTATTTTATATATTTAAAACATTATTTTAAAAATTTTTACAGTTTTTTTACGATATTTTTTGCCATATCATGTTTTTTGTAATTATTAATTAAAAAATTATATATTTTTAGGACAGTGTTTTATTTAGATACCCCTACCTACTTAATGTTAATTTAAAATTTTAAATAATTTTGGTTTACATCATACCAGGCAAATATATAGTAAATGCCAATAAACTATAAACCAATAAATATTAAAAATCGAAAGGTAACTTGAATTTGCTTGTATTTGAATTTACTTGTACTTGAATTTACCTACATGAAAAATCAGCAAGTATAATGCAAAACTATTGTCATATACTCTGAAGGCAATTCTCTCACCAGAAATCAAATCACGACTGGTCAAAGACTGTCTAGAAGACTTGACAGAGCTAAGTAGTTAAAATAAGGTGACCTTAGCCTGGGTTCCAGGCCATGGGGGATATCAGGGCGACGAATTAGGCCGAGGAGGCTCAGATAAGGCCATGACAGGCCCCGGACCCTTCTGTGGAGTTGCTAAGGCATTGTGCAAGGCATCCATTAAACAATGGATGCAAACAGAGTCTCAAAAATGGTGGAACAACTATCCAAGACTGAGACAGGCCAAACAGTTTATCAAGGAACCATCGGCCAAGTTCACGAAAGACCTACTGGATAAAAAGGGTCAAATCGTTAGGATAACAGTAGGCCTTCTTACTGGATACTGTCGCCTCAAAAGGCACATGAGTGTCATAAATCCAGCAGAAGAAGCAACTTTGTGCAGGTTCTGTGAAGAAGAAGAGGAAACAATATTCCACGTCCTGTGCCAATGTGAATGCCTGGCTGGAACGAGGTTTCTAACATTGGGCGAAGAAAAGCCAATTGCATGCAACTACATGCGGGAGCCACTGTCAAAGCTACTGAGACTAATAAAAAAGACCAGGTTAGACGACATACTCTAAAACAAACAAGAGTCCCACAATAGATCTGAAAAGGTCGCGGTGGACAAGTACAAATAACGTCCAACTCATAATCTAATCTAATCTACCTACATGAAAAAATGATCATAATTATATTACTAAAAAAATATACCTACATATTTACGTATTTTTTAACATACTACTCTAACAATACTGGTAAGTTTAAAACTCTACGCCACTGGCGAGCATATTATGGACACTGTTTAAAACGTTGCCAGCCGGTCATAAGAGATCTGTCTTTCTCTCTTCCACTCACTAACAATTTTAAAACAATAACAGTCCGCAATTGTATAGGATTTATGAAGGAAACATTTTGTCTATATGTTGTAATGTCTTTGGTTGATTTGTAGTTTCAAAAGTCAAATTTAAAAAGTATAAACTTCTAACTTGTCATTGACATTTTATCACGTGAACAATAAAGTCTATAGCGTTTGTTTATTACACTACATTCAGATTTAATTCTCAATCACGTGATAAAAAATTCACATTTCAGATGCATCCAATGTGGATATTCAAACGCTGCATTTATTGGTTTATGACAATGATAAGTTGGAAGTTTATATTTTTTAAATTTGACTTTTGAGACTAGAAATCAACCTAAATTTGCAATCTACAAAAATTAAACACACTAATCACTTTTATTATTTACCTAGCATAAACAAAGGATAAATCGATAAACTTGGCTTCACCTACTTTGTGGCTTGGAAAAAATTTAAAGAAGAACAAAAAATATTTCTAAATGCAAACCGTAATCATGATGTATTATCCTACAAAACAATTCAATAATCATTTAGTTTAAAAGAGTGTTATGATTTGTGTTTAAAAATAAAAGCTTGTTTGTTGCATATGGATATACATTTTCAATTTTTTTTTTAGTTTCTTACGCCCCCAGAAAGAATACATTCCACCTCAAGACGTCGATTCCAAACTCTCAAATATTTTTAAATCCGTTGTGGGAACAACGGACGATTCTGCAATAATTTCTGATCTGAATCAAAGATTTAGTTTGTTTCTACAATGCGAGAAGCAACTGAATCACAGTATACCAAACTCTTTGTTACACATCATGAAAACTTTGGGGGACGTCAAAGTTTTTTACAAGACACCTGTTGATACCAGGACCCCATTGGATAAGATGAAGAACATGGATTTACCCGAAAACATGCATGTTCAATTCGATTATCACAGATTCCGTCCAGGTAAGATATTTTTAACTTTAAAAATCGTTAATATTTACGTTTTTCTCTTTTTTTTAGATGCAGACACAATGTTTGGGGGAAAGACAGCGTTTCCTAAAAGTTCAACAATTGTAACTGGTTTGAAATATAAAGATAAATACCCTGGGCATAAGCAAGACAAACCAATTTACTAGTTTAAATAATGTATAATAAAGTGTTTTTTAATTATTTCTTTTTATTTCCGCATATTTTTACGTTTTTAAAGGTTATCTCGTTGAGCTAATTCTATTTAGATAAAATGCCAACGTAATTCGTCATTAGATAAAAAAAATTTCAAAAATTTCCTTTCTATTTTTCGTGATTAATTCAAGATCAATGAAAGCACAAAAACGTTCCACTACGAATCATCCAAAAGAAAGACATCAAAATTGTTACGAATTACGATGATCTCTGGATATCACGTGTCGTAAACTCTAGATCTGTAATCTGTGGTCTAAACGACTACCAGCAGTGTTGCCGTTCGTAGCGACTTGTCGTGTAAATAGCGACATTTTAATGGTTTGTGAAAGTAGCGGCAATTTAATCTAAATGAGCTAAAAATAGCGACTTTTGATCCTTAATACTTTAAGTTCAAGTGTAATAAAACGGTATTAGTTATATAGATGATTTCATAATGTTGTTGCAACAACCTGCTGATCGTCATCTATCGAAGAAATCCGTGGTCTACAAAAAAAACTAAATTCTGTAAGGACCGATTCCACCATCTAAGTGTTAAACGAAGTTTAAAATGACATTTTTACATTAACAATGTCATTTTAGTCTCCGTTTAACACAACGGTGGAATCGACCCTAATTAGAATTAAATTAGACATGTCAAAAAATACATTTTATAATTTTACTGACACATATTTAAACAAAATGAAGAATTATTCAAACCAGTTTATACAAAACTACTGAATCTGTTCACGAATTAGATTCAGACTCATGCTGAATTTTTGTTTGTTTTTAATTGGTGTTATTTAAATTTGTTTCTTTAAAAAAATTTATATTTTTGATTTTTTAGGCAATATGTTGTTAGTGTATATTTCATTTGTCATTATGTAGCGAGAAAATAGCGACTTTAGACGAACAGTGATAATGACAGATGCTGGTGTGGCAACACTGACTACCAGTAAAAATGTAGCGACAAAACTGCATACAACGCATATACAACTGCATTTTGCCATTGGAAGTGATGTCAGATTTTATATTAAACATTTCCAAAACAGACAATTAAATACTCTGTATATTTTCTTAAATAAACTATTTAATTTTAAACTATTTGTATTACAGAAATGTTAGATGTAAGTTCATTTTTTATCTTAGTTTTTAAATCCAACAGTACGCGATCATGATATGACGTCTTTCAGACGAACCAATAACGTGGCTGCTGCAGTGATTTTATAATCTTGCCAACAAACGCTCCTTAAGTAAACGTCATATTTTTGACAACGTCAAAAAATTCAAAACAAACGGTGTGTCAAAATGGGTTCGAGGATTTTACAATTTAATTAAATCATGTATTTCTAAGCAAATAAACTATTATTAAAACCTTGATTGGTTGTAATTAAAGATGGGTGGACTGTTGATACTTATTATTGTAATTTGTGTGGTGTTCTTTACGCTATCATGGTAAATAATTGGAATTTAAGAAGCAAGGATGTTACTAATTGTTGGCTAATTTTTAGGATTCTTCCAATGATAATTTCATGGCATTTCGAAAAGAAATACCAAGTAGCTTTGAAAATAGGAAGAATAGGGTTACCATACCTGAAACTATGTGATATAAACTTATCCAAAAATGGTTTTACAATAGTAAGTATAATTTCAAAACATTAATTTGTGTTATTTTAATTAAAACCTTTTTTAGCATATAGATGAAATCGGTGTAAAAAGTAGCTTTTTAAATTCGGATTTAACAAAACTAGTCACTTTAATGGTTAAAGATGTTCGTATTAATAAGGATTTAAGTACAAAAAAAGTGGAAGAAATATCTACTAACGATAAAATAATAGATTTTAGGGAGAAACAAGTACCTCACTTTATCAATAGTTTTGCACAAGTAAGTAAAGTTGTTAATCTTGATAAATAAATACTATATAATCATTTTAAACAGTTCATGGCTGTGCACGTTTATAACATATCAGCAATATTGCTCCGATCAGAAACACCAGGGTGTCTTGTACATGCCACAGCAACTGAACTACATCTGGACGGGAGCATTTTAAAAAACGCCAAATCTTTATTGGTAACACTAAACCTCATGGAGGCGGAAATAAAGGTTCTTAGACATGCGGAACAGCTAGTGAAAGAAGCTCGTTTAGCAGAATTTAGCTTTGGGATATCATTAGAGACAATTTTGGTTGCTCAAGGACCACTATCTGTTGAGGTAAGTTATAGAAAATTTCAGTATATTGTATTTAATGAACTTGAAATAGATAGTATATTATTTAATGTGTTTTTATGAGTATGTAATGGTTCTGCTACTTTGATTTTAGTAGATATTAGGACCTGATAAGAACAATATGTCCTCTACTGTGAACATAAGCTACTGCTCATATAAATTTGTCCAGGACATAATAAAAAATTAACTTTTTATTTTTGAACTTGTTTTGTTATTAAAAAGAGATCACCAAATACAATACAATATCTTTATTTACCTGAGAAAATCTTACATTTTATGGCTCGTCAAATTACAATTAAAACTAAATATATATATAATAAAATTACCTAAATATAAAATTGAAATTTACAAACATTTACAACATAGTTCACTGAATCACTCAGAGGCCACAGTGACAGCCTCAATCCTCCATCTGTATTGATTTAAATTCCACTAAGCTATATAGGGAATTATTGAATAACCTTTGTTTTAATGCATGTTTAAATTTATCTATAGGCTGATTTCTAAAATTAAGTGGTAGTATATTGTATAGCTCAATATAATATTTCTTTGTCCTTTTCAGTCTATACTGGATAGGGACTAAGTTATTTTTGTGCCTTGTATTATGGATATCTGAGTGGGAAAAAATGTGTTAACATTATTTCTTACGAATAGAAGGTTTTGATAGATTATTATACTGCATAGAGTGTCATAATTTTAAGTTCTGGGAATACTGGTCTACAACTTGGTTGCCAAGAAGCAGGTGTTATGGCTCTTATGGCTGATTTTTGCAAAATAAAGACTCTTGAGATATGTGTGTCAGCAGCATTGCCCCAACATATTGTCCCGTATGTCAAATGACTATGAAATAGAGCATAGTAAGCAATAATTGCTGCATCTTGACCACATATTTGGGATATTTTCCTGATAGCAAAAACTGCTTGTGATAATTTGGAACAATATGATCTGTCCATCTGAGATGTGGATCAATTTGAATGCCAAGTGTTTTAACAGAATTGTTATTAACTTGTTCACTATTTACTGTAAATAATTGGGAGATAGTTTTTGTGTCATTTAAAAACAGGTTGTTTATAGAAAACCATCTCTTTGTCTGAATCATGACATCAGAGTAAACTTGATCGTGATCTGTTCCTCTTTTAGTATTAATACAAAAGGAAGTATCATCAGCAAATATACATGTGATAAGGTTTTCAAAATGCATATGGTCAGGAAGATCATTAATGTATATCAAAAATAGTAATGGACCTAAAATTGAGCCCTAAGGGACACCTCTCCTGATATGCATCAATGCACTTTTGCAGTTTTCGATGATGACTGTTTGACATCTGTCAATTAAATAAGATTCAAAAAGCTGTAAACAAATCCCTCGTACTCCATACCTCTCCAGTTTTGATAATAGAATTGAATGATCCACACAGTCAAAAGCAGAGCTTTTTCAAAACAATTTTCTATATATTGTACTAGAGATAATACTGCATCTATTGTAGATCACCACCTTCTAAAACCATACTGGAATGGTGTGAGTATGTTGGAAGAATTTAAATATGATATTAGATTATTATACATAATTTTTTCCAAGATTTTTGAGAATATGGGAAGTACAGCAATTTTTCTGAAGTTGCCAGGCTGAGAAGGGTCTCCTTTTTTAAATAGAGGACAGACCTTAACAATTTTCATGCTATCAGGAAATATTCCTTCAGTTAGACAAAAATTTTAAATATGTTAATTTATAATCTTTATATAATTGAATATTTTGAGTACTAGGATGCTGTTTTTGCCATTCATGCTCTATTTTTTGCCTCAGTAATTGTGGGAGAAACCCAATAAGAGCCCTGCCTTTTATTCTGCATTTGAGGTTTGGATTTAAAACATATATTGTAATATGAACCGAAGATTGTAATAAAAGCATTATATTTATCTTTCGCCAAATATGCATCATAAACTTCTAGCCATTTTTCAGAATTTAAATAGTTCAATATTGTTGTATGAATAATAATTTCTAATACAAGTTAAGTTGTTTTTTATTTCAGAGGTTTCTTGTGTTTCTACTAACTGTTCCCTATGATCCGAGACACCCATTTCAATTACAGATACAGTTATAATGTCAAAATTTATAAAAAAATTGTCTAAACATTTATTGTATCTAGTATTTTGGTGAACTGCTTGATGCAGATTGTAGTATAAAAAAAGATTTTTAATATTAGAGGCATTTTGGTCATTTGGATCTAAAAAATTTACATTGAAATCTCCTGTTATAAGTAATTTACTTTTAGAAGTTATAAGCCAGCTCAAGAACATTGCGCAATATGTCCATAAAATGGCTCAAATTATGGTAAAAAGTAGACCCATAAATTGAGATTATTGTAATATGACTCTGTTGGAGAATGAGATGTAAACAGGTGTGAAATATGTGAATAGGAGTGAAAATAATCTACACTCGAGTTTGTTGGTCTTCACGGGTTTTCATAACTTGAGTCTGGAAGTCTAGAGCTGGGGCTTTAAGTTTTGGAAATGTATTGACAAATCAGGCTGGTGATTGTATTGTTGTCAATTCACTAAATAATATGAAACTATTACATACTGATACCAACATTCCTATTATATTCCATAAAACCTGAAACCTCCATTATATATAAAAAAATAATTTATTTAAAAGTTAACATTTTTGGTGTCTCTTTTTTTAAGAAACTACATGTGAAGATGTCTCAAAGTAGTGCAATCATCAACGGGGCTTTTTATAACATAGCTCATAATTCTAAGAGGACAGGAACTGACAAGGACCCGATTTGTAATAATTCATGTCCTGAAGATGATATTTTTAGAAGAATACAACCAATTATTCCAAAGGTACGTAATCATAAATATAATGTTGATTCAATATACATTGATATGATAATCAAAGTTGTAAGCATAAAAAAATTATTTCCTAATCTTTTCACGTTATTCATATCCTCGCGATTCCTTTTTTCAAAATATTCTTTTCTTGTACATTTTTTCATCATTCATTTGAATCATAAAAATAATATAGAAGACCAATATAAATGGAACATTTAAGCAGAAGTTGAAACCTATTATTCACAAAAAACGTGTCTCTGTGTACGATAACGCAGAATAGTGTGTCGATAAACATGAGCAGTATGCATGATTTGTCCCTGTGTAGCGTTGTCAGGTATATTAATCAAAGCTGCCATAAAATAATTTCAAATTATTTTCTTTTAAATTTGTAACTTGACAGACCGGACCCTGACCTAGTTTTGCAAATACTTATAACCTTGGCCTAAATTTCGTCTAGTAGATCCCCACGAAGTGATGTTAAAACCCCCAGAATTTCGTTTAGAGTTCAATGTAGCTGTAATGGAGGAAGAACAAAGTAAACACCGAGATTAATTTTGAATACTGTTTATTTAACATCTATTCTTTTGTACAGCCGAACATTTAAATTATGTGCCATTTTTAGGCTTAACATTATGTTTATGTAGGCTTTCGAATGTGTCATTTCTAACCTCAGAGCTTTTAGTTCCCATAAAAGGGTAAAATAAAAGTCGGAAGTAATTTGGTATGTTTGTTTGTCTCCTAATATACAATCACACGTTTCCACGGAACTACTGAATTACGCATTGTCTAATAAAAGAGAGTACAACGGTAGCACGAGGAGTGTTGTGAGATATAAAATATTGCGTCGAAATGAGAACCTCTTCCTTTTTGAAGTCGGTCAAATTAAATAATTCTAACATGTGTAAAAACCGGAGTGTAGATTTACCTCACCGTGCGTCACGCCTTTCCCTAATGTTCCAATGCCGTAATTTACCGACATACTCAGTCCTGTATGAACAACACTAAACGGTCGATCGGAGAACACCTGATATAAAGGGGGATGCCCGTCAGGCCCGCTTTTGGGGTATCTCAGTAGAGATCCATCCAAGCCTCTATCAGGCTTTAATTTACATAGCCGCAAGGGGAATACCATTTTTAGGCCCTTACTATTGAGGTCCCTGGCGGTCTATGGTGGCCTAAGGCGTCTTTTTCGGCACGATGCTCTTTTGCTCTGTCGATTGACAAATCAGTGTTATTAATCACAGTTCTGAGAATACGTTAGCTAGTCCACAAACACAATTTCACCTATTTATTCTAAATAAATAACAAACATACCGACTACTTCCGCGTAATGTCCCGCTAAAGATAGGTGGATATGTACAAATAAATACGACCCTCCTCAATATTCATGATTCCACCCGCCGCTGTACATATCTCCTTTTTCCCGAAAATTCGATACACAAAACTAAAATTCCGTACGGCTAAAATGACACATTTGTCTACCCAATTTTGTTTTACAAAGAACGACAGAAAACATATTTTTTAACCGCAATCTAACTGTAAAATATATACAAATCAATGCGTTTACCCTACTAATCTACATCTGTTTGCCATTTAAAAGTAAAACCGAAAGTGTTTTTATCTTTACAGACACCCGAAACTTTACAATTCAGCCCTTTGGCCGTAAATCTAAATGACTTAATTTATTGCTTGAGAGCATTGACCGACTTTAGAACTATTAATATTTATGACAACAACATCACTATCGATTCTCTAAATAACGTAATTTAGCACAATATAAAATCGTATAATTTTTTCCACAATAAACGTTTACCAATGAATACCAAAAATATGACAATAACACACAGCCGCGAATGTTCCCGCTAATGAATATAAGAGTAAATAAAGTGATACCTGTAACCTATTAATGTTTGTCTAAATTCTCCCCCGGAATATCTGAATATTAATTACTAGTTTGATTACTTTAATAGTGCGATTATCGTTTTAATTCTACGTAAAAGAAACCTTACAGAAATAAAAGTATACCGCTGACAAAAGGTCTACCGGACGTAAGTTCGTCGGTCAGCCAGAAGGGTGACACAATCCAATACGAACGACGCCTAGAGTAGCACTTTTAATCATTTAGTAACATTTTATAACGTTGAATCGGAGATACAAAATATCTGGCGTTTAACTAGACTAGCGAGGTATCGTCAGTATTAGTTACGCCAATAATTTAGTCGCTCGGTAGATACAACTTTACAAAACAGTTCTAGGAGCGAAATCTGGTTCTACTCAACGTGTATCTGCTTGGTCAAAACTGACTATATATCTCCTTTTACTTATATCTAGAATATAAGAAAAAGGTGGTCGTCCTAAGGACAACTGGATACCTATGCAGAAGCCGTCGTTTATAGAAACTAATTTCTCTACTCCGTCGATATCTTTTATTTCCGTTCTCAAAATATAACAAGAACACGGCCACCGTAAGGGTAGCATATCTCTTTTTAATTATATTTGAAGAATATAAAGAAAAAGGAGTCACCGTAGTGGGACATGGATATTTGCGTATTCTTGTTAACTTGACTCGGTGAAGAAGAAAAAGTTAAATCCTTTTGCCCACAAAGACCCGGGTATTTATACTTAAATTTCCCATATACGCCAATGTATCGGAAAGAGAACGAATATGCGTTCGAGCATAAAGACTATAAAGCCCTGTATTAATTCCTGAATGTAACCCTTAAAAAACACAGGTGTTTTTTTAGCTAGTGGCCGTGATGCACGACACAAAGGCTGTTTTTCCCAGAAGTAATAAAACGGCGCCTAAGAGACGGGACTCGCTGGGATGGTGTTTGAATTCGAAATAAAATTTGAATATAATATGTAATATATAAGAATTATTTAAATTAATTATCAACCCCCGGTTGTCGGATTTCAAATTAATGATTTAAACAATTTATATCTATGAAATATTGCAACAAAATAACTTATAAACTTTTAAATAAACAACATGATATTTATGTGTTCACCTAGATTTGACAACACTGCTCAAATCAGGAGTTCCAAGGCTAAAGCTTAATTTATAACCGCCGTAACGTAACTTAAGAACTTAACGTAAGAAGTTGAAATATTGAATTTACGTATACTTATTTATAATGTTCGTAATGTAACTTAAGAACTTAACGTACCATAGAAAGTTCGCCAACTTTTAACTTAACAACTTAACTTAAGACCTTACGGTTAGCCAATGAGATAATTCTGAGTTCAGCATATGATAACTGTCAATTATTCTCTTTATTTTTTTTATAAATAAATAGACAAATACCATTTGTAAACTATCATTCTCCTTTTTGATGGACATACATTATGATGAATGATTTGTGTTTGTTATTGGGGATAAACTATTTATGAGATATGAGTGTTGCTGCATATACCTATACCTAAACATTAAGTCTAGAACTGAAATAAGACACAAAACTAGTTTGCTAGGAAAGATTAAATTCTCATTATTGCTCAAAAGCAATCAAAATCTTCGGTAAACTATTCTGTTTTATTATATTTTTATATTATTGCTTTTAAAGTAGTTAATATATTCTTTCTATATAGCATAATCATAATTTATAAGTTTTATTTAGAGGTTAGGTACATAGTTTGCACTTGTTTATTTCATAAGGTTGTCAGTAATTTGATAATCTTTGAAATCAACACGCATGCTCAACTCTTACGTTGCGGACATTTATAAATAGACTTTATTTTTATATCTTAGGTTAAGTTTCTACGGCGTTAAGTTACGTTACGGTGGTTATAAATTATACTTAAGTGCTGCTTACATTTACAGGACCCTTTCCTTATTTACAATTTTTCAGTTTATAGAATATTTGTGATAATATGGTTGGAATTTGTGTTTTATTATTTAATTACACAGTGTTAATAGCATTTAGAATATTTTTTTATTATTAGTTTTGTGTAGCGTTAAATGAACTATACTAAGTACTGAACTGTACTAAGTACAATAAAAAAACCTAATATTGTCTAATGAAAATGTAATTAATGTATTAAGCAGCTGACCCAATCCCGCTTCACTGGAATTTTTTTTCATGCAATACCAGTACAAAAAAAATAACAAACCAGTACATCAAAATTAAGACCGTATCCGTAAACTCAAGCAAAGTCTATTTTATTTATGATTTGAGATTGAGATTTTTAAAAACAAAAGATCCAAGCGAAGGTGAACAAATATATCCCAAAATCAGATAAGTTCATACAAAGATTTCTTGAAATCGAGGGCTTTTCAAAAATTTATATCCTTTTCAATTACACGTCGTGGTTTTTTTCACAATTTTGCTTTTATTTTAAACTTTGTAGAGATTTTTTTTTAGCACTAATGGTTGCTGAAATATTAACACTAATTCAAATTTTGTCATATCTCTCTTTCAGTTTGCATTCGCCCATATAAATCTTCCATATATGGGCGGTTGCCTTTAAACGTAACTTTCGGGAAACATATACGTCCTGGCATTAATTTTAATATTGAAAACCATTCATAAAGCGTGACTTATTCTATTTCTGGTTAGATTTTCAAGATTTTGTATCCGTCTTTAAACTTTACATTGTCTCTTTGACTTTAGTCCTTGCTCGTTCTTCTTCGGATAATTTCCTATTTTTCATTATCTTTTCAAATTCCTATTTATATTTATTTTCGTTTTATTCTGCATTATATTTTTACTCTTTTGTCTGGCCCTAACTTTATTTTTTAACATTTTATATCTTTCCTTCTTCAATTTTGTTTCTTGTTTCTCTATCCTATTGCTTACATTTTTCTTAAATTCTTCATTTATTTGTCATTTATCTTCCTTCTTGTGCTCTATTACCTACCCCGTTTAATTTGTCTTCCAATTACTGATGCCCTTCCTATGGGGCCTTAGTATTGTATTCGTGCAGAAGAAAAAATGTTCTGACCCCCATTTTTTAAAACTTTTTTTTCATGTTTCTGATCATTCCGAAAATGCAAAAAAAAATTCGTCGGATCGTCTGTGTGTATGTATGCTGGCACGATAACTCTAGAACGAAAGTTCTGATTGACTTGCGGTTTTGATTTTCTTTAATAATTACTTCTAACTTAGAACCCTATTGATTTTCACATTTTTCGGTTCATCCTAACTACTTTAATATCAATTTTCTTAAAATCTGCCTATGCATTCCTTATGTGACAATTTTAGGAATTCCAATTATTTCTAACGTCAAAATTCCTAACATTATTTACATTCCATAAATTGCAAACATTCTCTAACGACCTGTCAAACAACAGCTGTTAATAGTAAAGGTGAAATTTATAAGGTGGGTTGCGACCTTCATACTTGCAACCATAGTGATTTTGGAGGCTATTTTCATTCGAAATTAGTTGCCAAGCCTTCCAATTTATGAAAAATATATAAGCAGTTTCTTAAAAAGTACTTTTTTATAGTGGGCCTATTAAGCGTACTACTATTTCGCCCCTAGCCACAAAAACACCTTCATCAAATTTACTGGTTCTCTGTCGCAACCCCATAAAATAATTAACGGGCCATTTCATTTGGTAAAAATCAGAATAATACTTGGCTGTGCCTGTCAAATATCAAGATGTCAACTGTGATATGTGAATGGTTCTTAAATGTCAAATTATTTAAAAATGTATACTTCTTTTGATATTTATTGCAAATAATTTGTAGTGTATCTCAATTCAGGCTTTCCATAAATAAAGGTACAGCAAGACAGATAATATAATGTTCTTATACAAAGCACTTTTTTATTATATAAAAGAGAGGTAGGATATAATGCCCATTTCAAATTTGGATCAATTATGTTACCGAGGTATTTTGTTGTGTTTTTTTGTTTTAATTATAAAGTTGTCATTTATTTGTATGTTGAAAGAAGGCCTTTGTAAATTACATTGCACAAAAATAGTTTTGTGGCTATAAGTTGCTATAACCTATCGTCGCAACACTATTAATAATTTAAACATAGTAAGTAGTATTAATATAACATCAAGTAATTTTTTAAAATACATTACATGATCTTAAAACAAATAATCTATAATAAATGCGGATAAAACGAGGGGTAAAATAACAATAAATTAAGGGAAATACTTAAAAAGGGCAGGTTTAAAGAGTATTATCACAAGAAAGTATATCCGTTCTGTTTATTTATCAAATATTGTTTGAGGTTACTTTTGAATACATTTATTGTTTTTTTTTTTTAATTTCTGTAGGCAGTTTATTAAATTTTTGCAAACCTTTAATAAAAATTGTATTTTGGGAACTTTTAGTGATGACTTGCCGTACATGAAAGTCAGATTGGCTTGTATTATAGTTGTGATATTGCGAATTATATTGAATTTTTGGTACTATGTCATTTTTATTTTATAAATAAATATCAGTCATGTACTGAACATAATTCTGAACTGAAAGCCAATTTATTTCTTTTAACATAGTTGCAATACTCATCCTTCGGTCCTTTATTAATAGAATATAAATAGGCGAAGTAAGGAGCCCAAATATTTTACATGAGCAGGCTTAAGAGGTAAAGGGGCAAATTGTTATTGGATAAATTGTTCGAACAAGTTTTTAAACCCTAATCAAAAAGCGATATAGAATGGTTTTAAAAATCAAGGCTTGTGAAAATCATCACATGGTTTAACCTAAGTAATGCCAATGCTTCATAAACCAAAAAATTTTACGTGCTAATACTACTATCGGCTTTCGGTATTTTGTTCCATGTTAAATCATTTCTCGTTTTTGTTACGCTACGAGTTTACCCTTGTGGGCCTCAGTCTCGATAAGGTGGGTTCCACCATTTTAGCGTCTCGAATTTATTTTATTTTCTTTCTCAACTTCTTCAATTTTCGTTTTTCCTTTATTTAAAAATACATATTTTTTCAATTAATATCTTTTTTTTTTGTAAAATCTTTCTCTTCAATTACCCGTCGTTCGTCTATTTCTTTCTTTATTTCTTCTTTCAAAGGTTCTTGTTTTTGTTCAGAAATTTCAACCGAATAATTTTGCAACTTTTTAACCTTTATACTTCTGCAAATAATTTCCACACCTACATCATTCTTATTTTCTTCTGTTTTATCATCTCTGTAAAATTTGTTATCTTATCTCTTTTACTTCTTTTACCAATACTTCCAATTTCTCCCTAATTTCCATTAATATTTGAAGTATTGTCTATTCTTATCGACTCCTGTTTTTCTCTTTCAAAAATTTTGGATTCGTCATTTCGATTTTCCATTTCAAACAGATCTTCTCTTCTAACTTCTTTTGTCTTTCCTAATTCTTCTATCTGTTCCCCTTCTTCTATTTTTACCCCTCTCTTAGATCCATGTTTTGTTATATTCAAAATTGCTTTAATTATTATGCAGGCGATGTGATAGGTGTTATTATAATTTATTAAAAAGAATGCAAAAATAAAAAAATCAGCTTGTCTGTCAATTTGACTGCCCCACGTTGGGCGCCATTTGATATGGTAATCAGTTGTAAGCACCTATATGTATATATATTTCCAAATTTCATATATATTCTTTATATTTTCTAGAATTGTTCTTTATACATCGACGATACTTGCTTGACTGGTGTCAAAGATAACGGACAAATCGAATATAATTCATCCCTTAAAAATTTAGCTCTGAATTATCGATCGATGTTTCCAGAAAACGGTATAAACGACAGTTCTTCCGTGCTTTTTAACTTTTACATGGCAGATTTGCTACTGTTGAACAGTAGAGAGAAACTTTTGGAAATGAAACATCTCAATGTTGACGCAAAGGTGAGTTTAGTATTTTGATGCAAGGTTTGAGGTTTTAATGGGTATTACATCGATTTTTAGCTGAGAGAATACATCCTGAACGTCTACTTACAGCAAAACAGCCTTTTGCTAACGTACGACCACAATACGATCCACAAATGGGTATGCACGAATTTCCCGCAAAGCAAACCTAGAAACCAATCGATGAATCTACGTCATTCGGAAAAAGTTGAAAAAGACGATACCAGATTGATCATAAAGCAAAGTACGGTTTTTGAAAAAATTATAGAAAAACTGTGCATCAATTTTTGCGCCGAATTTACCCAAATGTTGGCTATGGTCCGATTGAAGGACCAGAACTCTTCGATCGGATTTAACAAGGTTAGGTTCATGTTGGATCAATCGCAGGAGACCAGAGGTAAATGAAGTTATATTAAAAATGATAGACTTTAAATGAAATTTGCATTTCAGGAGCATTTTGCAAAACGTATCTTCCAAACCTGCTTCTCCAAAATCGACATTGGACAGTAGACTTTCTGGTGGAATCGTTATGGTGGTCGTTCAAAGAATGGTCCCAGGACACCAACATGTCCAAAGTGATGCATATTTGGGGCACACCGTTGTACCTCGGCATGGGCATAGTCAAATTTACTACCGCTCTAAATCAGGAGATCAAAATGGAATCGCTGTTGGACATTGTTCAATTGGAATGGTCGCTGGATTTGGCCGATTATGTCCTATTGGCTTTAAGGTATAAAATTAGGCGTTTTCAAAAATGGGAATGTGTAATTCATTTAAAATTCAATTAAATTCATTTAAATTCGTTTAAATTCATTTAAATTCATTTAAATTCATTTAAATTCATTTAAATTCATTTAAATTCATTTAAATTCATTTAAATTCATTTAAATTCATTTAAATTCATTTAAATTCATTTAAATTCATTTAAATTCATTTAAATTCATTTAAATTCATTTAAATTCATTTAAATTCATTTAAATTCATTTAAATTCATTTAAATTCATTTAAATTCATTTAAATTCATCTAAATTCATTTAAATTAATTTAAGATCATTTAAATTCATTTAAATTCATTTAAATTCATTTAAATTCATTTAAATTCATTTAAATTCATTTAAATTCATTTAAATTCATTTAAATTCATTTAAATTCATTTAAATTCATTTAAATTCATTTAAATTCATTTAAATTCATTTAAATTCATTTAAATTTTTTTAAATTCGTTTGAAATCTGTTTAAAATCTTGTTTTTTAGATGTTTCAAGCAGTACGGTCAAATTAAATTAAAATTGCCAGTTCCTAGGAAGGAAGTGAGCGAGCAAGATGTTCAAAAATTGTCTATGCATCTGGTGGTTACACATTTTAACTTTTTCTTGCAGTCGCAGAATAGAGGTGCGTACTTTTACTGAATTTTAACTGTGACCTGAACTATAGTACTTTTTTTTTAATATCCTTTTTGTAGAATATTTTGTGACCCGTTTGAACACCATCAGCCTGGACAAGAGCCCGACCTCGATCAACGTCAAATTCGAGGAATTCAAAATGTTCAGTTTGAACAACAACGGCGACTACTATACCTGCATCAGAACCGAAGACATATCCAACTACAAGGCCTTCGTGAAAACCACTTGCTTGGAAATGAGGGAAAACAAGGCAGTGACTCTGACGCTTTTGGATAACGTCGTCACCTACTGGTCGACGAATTTCCACATGAAGAGCCTGTTACTGTTCAGAGATATGAGGGACTTCGCTTGCGGAGTCGCGGAAGAACTGGGCATTGAAAGTTTGGAGAAAAAGAGCAAGGAGAAGTACGTGAGCAATTTGAACGTGTTTGGAAAGTTTGAGTTTCACATTGATATCGGTCCCGATCACAAAGCTAAAATATCTTTAGGTCAGTAAGTTGTTTAATCATACTAAAGGGAATGAGGGTTGTTATATATTTATGTAGAGGTCAAAATATCAATACATTTCGGTGTTACATTTTTAGAATAAATGTAAATAAAGGCAACCCTGGTTATTTCCAAAGGAGAGGTTGCCTGCTTTAACAATAACTAGGGTTGCCTTTGTTTAAACTTACTTCTAAAATGTAGCACCGAAATTTGTTGTTATTTTGAAGTCCGCATAAAACCAGAATAAACCATGATTGATTTGGTATTTAGCAATAATTTTTGTATACTATCTTTCTTCGATATCTTGCTGTGGGCACTTAAGAATTTTTTATACTTTTTCAGACGAACTAATACTGACTAAAAAACTGGAAGACTCCAAACACCCGTCAGACATCTACCTAAACACCTCATTGGTCATTTCCATCGACGACGCCGAGATATTCACGATCAAAGGCATCAATTTTCGCCCGATAAAATCCCACCCGATCATCGCAGCAGAACGCTCAGACGTCGACAGCTTCGTCGTGCCGTTCAACAAGACTTGGGGATTAAACATCGATCTCTTCAAGGCCGTCTTCCCTTACGAACACAACTTCGCCGAAGCCTATCAAAACCAATTCGTCTCCGTCTTTAAATGGTTGAAAATCGTGCATAACCTCAAAACGGATCGGTCCTTAGAACGACCGCTGCCCAGCGATTTGCTTATTAACGTACGTGTCGCGTAAAAAATAACGTACGCCTCTATTTTATATCGTTCTTTTTTTTTAGGTCAAGGAGTTTCTGTTCGAAATGAGCGACGATCCGTACGAGGTGAAGTTGCGTGATAATTTCGAATTACTGGAAGACGAGTATAACGAGAGCTTGAAGAGGCAAAAAATGCTTAAAGATAAGGTACTTGCAATTATATTTGACGGTGACAATTGACGTTGACAATTAACGTTGATAATTGACGTTGACAATTGACGTTGACAATTGACGTTGATAATTGACGTTGACAATTGACGTTGACAATTGACGTTGGCAATTGACGTTGACAATTGACGTTGACAATTGACGGTGATAATTGACATTGATGATTGCACATAGTTATGCAGAAATGATCCAATCCACCCAAACCATATTTTGAGAAAAATGATGTTAAAGTTAAATTATCTACGAGATGAAAATAGAATATTATATAGCGATTATTTATGATTGTCACTATTAATATCCTTCTAAATTGTTGGATCATTTCAGCAGAATATAATTTTGAACTGTAACATATCGAAAAGCTACTCAAGTCATTTCTGGTGGATTTGTGGATTGGATCATTTCTGCATTACTACGTCCAATTGACGTTGATAATTGGCCTTGATAATTGACGTTGACAATTGACGTTGACAATTGACGTTGACAATTGGCGTTGACAGTTGACAATTGTCGTTGATAATTGTCGTTGACAGTTGAGATTTGACGTTAACATTTCAATTTGCTATTAGACGTGACTTTCAGTTTAAAGGAACTTTTTGAACGAATGTAACTTGTTTATTCGATGTAGTTTTCATGTTTTTGTAGATCGCAGACTTGTTGAAAACGCATTTGCACATGCCCGCCGGCAAGGTGGAAGAGTTGTACGCCACATTGAAGAAGAAAAACGCCGAAATTTACATTCAGAGATCGAAATTGATGTACAAAGCGTCTCCGCCTCGAACGAGACTGTTCGCTTGGAGTATGACGAACGTGGAAATACTTGTAAGATCATTTCGTAAAGTTAGGTTAAGGTTTCTGTAATCTAGGATTATTATTTTTTTAGATCATGGCCGATCCGACGATACACGGTAACGAAAACGTGATCAAAACGATGAGGGAAATCGACTACGACACGCCCTGGCCGGAACCCGAAGAACAAATGGATTTTTCCACTTTGTGGTGTCGCGTGGTGTCTTTCAGATGCGCCGAATGGAAATTCATGTTGAGAGATTTTCCGCAACCGTTGATGAACATCCGAAAGTGTTATATTTGCGGACAGCTCGTAGGTGCCGAGCAAGTTGCTCCAAAAAGAGGTACGAAATTAAACATGAATATTTTTTTAATAGGAAATTGATGTTTGAATCTGACATCTGTATTTTATTGACATTTGACAACTGAAATTTGACAATTGGCGTATGTGTTACGTCAAATGTCACTCTGACTTTTTATATATGACAGCAATCGTTCTTATTTCTTTACCAAAGCGTTTTGTTTTCGGTTGAGCCAGAATTTTGTTGATTTGATTGATTTAGAACTTTCATCAAAGCAGATAAGTACATTTTTATAGTAGTTTAACATTTTTGTTATTAATACATTAAATAGTAATTTTGGTAGGCATAATTTGTCGGAAATATTACATCTTCATTCTGCAATAAACAAAATAATATTCAGTTTCCTTGTCATTGTTGTAGTATAGTTTCCATGATGTTTAGATTTGTTTATTTGATCTAATCATTCTTATTGCTTTTTCTCAACTGACATTGACATTTGTCACCTGAAATTTGACACTATTGTATATGTCACGTCAAATGTCACTCACTTTTAACATATGACATAACGATCAATATATGAATTTTCTCCTTATTTCTATACCAAAGTATTTTATTCTCGGTAGAGTAAGAAATTTGTTAATTTGATTGATTTAGAGCTTTGATTTAAGCAGGTAAATACATTTTTATAATAGTTAAATAGTTTTTCTATTAATACATTAAATAGTAATTTTGGTAGGCATAGTTTTTTTTTGTAGATTTTACATCTTAATCATACATTAAAAAATATATATTTAGTTTTCTGTCACAGTTATTGTATAGTTTCCCCAATGTTTGAATGTTATTTAATCTGATACATTCTTATTGCTTTTTTCGCAACTGACATTGACATTATTATAGTTTATTGACATTTGTCAGCTGAAATTTGACACTATTGTCGTATATGTCACTCAAATGTCACTTTGACTTTTAACATGTGACATAACGATCAATATATGAACTTGTTCGTTTTTATTTCTATACCAAAGTATTTTATTCTCGGTAGAGTCAGAAATGTGTTAATTTGATTGATTTAGAGATTTGATCTAAACAGGTAAGTACATTTTTATGAGTTAAATATTTTTTTTAATAATACATAATACAATAAATAGTAATTTTGGCAGGCATAGTTTTTTTTGTAGATTCTACATCTTCATCCTACAATAAAATATTATGATATATATTTTTTTGTCACAGTTATAGTATAGTTTCCCCAATGTTCGAATGTTATTTGTTCTAATACATTCTTATTGCTTTTTTCTCAACTGACATTGACATTTGTCACCTGAAATTTGACACTATTGTCGTATATGTCACGTCAAATGTCACTTTGACTTTTAACATATGACATAACGATCAATATATGAATTTGCTCCTTATTTCTATACCAAAGTATTTTATTCTCGGTAGAGTCAGAAATTTGTTAATTCGATTGATTTAGAGCTTTGATTTAAGCAGGTAAATACATTTTTATAATAGTTAAATACTTTTTTTATTAATACATTAAATAGTAATTTTGGCAGGCATAGTTTTTTTGTAGATTTTACATCTTCATCCTACATTAAAAAAATTATATTTAGTTTTCTGTCACAGTTATTGTATAGTTTCCCCAATGTTTGAATTTTATTTAATCTGATACATTCTTATTGCTTTTTTCGCAACTGACATTGACATTATTATAGTTTATTGACATTTGTCAGCTGAAATTTGACACTATTGTCGTATATGTCACGTCAAATGTCACTCTGACTTTTAACATGTGACATAACGATCAATATATGAACTTGTTCGTTTTTATTTCTATACCAAAGTATTTTATTCTCGGTAGAGTCAGAAATTTGTGAATTTGATTGATTTAGAGATTTTATCTAAGCAGGTAAGTACATTTTTATAAGAGTTAAATATTTTTTTTAATTATACATAATACAATAAATAGTAATTTTGGCAGGCATAGTTTTTTTGTAGATTCTACATCTTCATCCTACAATAAAATATTATGATATATATTTTTTTGTCACAGTTATAGTATAGTTTCCCCAATGTTCGAATGTTATTTGTTCTAATACATTCTTATTGCTTTTTTCTCAACTGACATTGACATTTGTCAGCTGAAATTTGACAATTGTCGTATATGTCACGTCAAATGTCATTCTGACTTTTAATATGTGACATAACGATCTATATATGAACTTGATCGTTCTCATTTCTATACCAAAGTATTTTATTCCCGGTAGACTCAGAAATTTGTTAATTTGATTGATTTAGAGCTTTGATCTAAGTAATTTTTTATAATATTTAAATACTTTTTTATTAATACATTAAATAGTTATTTTGGCAGGCATAGTTTTTTTGTAGATTTTACATCTTCATCCTAAAATAAAAAATTATGACATATAGTTTTCCGTTACAGTTTTAGTATAGTTTTCCCAATGTTTGAATGTTATTTGATCTAATACATTCTTATTGCTGTTTTCTCAACTGATATAATCATTAATATAGTTTAACATTTGACAGCTGAAATTTGACATAGCAGAAACGATTGTCGTATATTACGCCAAATGTCACTCTGGCACATGACATAGCGATCATTTATGAACTCGCTTGTTCTTATTTCTAGTAGTAGTAGTATTGTAATCTTGAAAAAGTCCCCCTCCGAGATTATTTCGGATCTTCACGTTTCGGGGTCCCTATGATTCCCCCATTCCGTCGGTCTGTCTGTCTGTCGTCTTCTGTCTGTTGGCGCAATAACTCAAAAACGGCTTTGGAAAAAAGCTTCAAATTTTGTATGTAGGTAAGGCTCCTTTCTGGCTCAAAATCACTTTTACTTTATATACAGGGTGAGCAGTTAAAAAAAATGTATTTTTAAAAGTTGGCAGATTTCGACTAAAATTAGCATCTGGGTACTTTAGAAGTAAAACAGATCTTAAATAAATTTAAAAAATTCTAAATGGGGTTGAATAGAATCGTATTGAATTAAAAACGGTCCACCTTGAATAAAAATAACTAAAAATGGTGCTTTTGGTTTGCGTAACCAGACCATTTTAAAATCGGCCTATCATTATCGTTCAATAACGGTGAACGTGGCGAAGAACACCGGACGGACGCGAAGTATGTATTCGAGTGAGATCAAGAGAAATATTGATGGATAGAGAATGGTGAAAAAGGGTTTTTGGTTTGGTCAAAATAACAACAAATATCGGTGTTACATTTTTAGAGTGAGGCAACCCTGGTTATTTCCAAAGGAGAGATTAACAGTTTTAACAATAACTAGGGTTGCCTTTATTTAGACTTACTCCAAAAATATAGCACCAAAGTTTGTTGTTATTTTGAAGTCTGCATAAAACCAGAACAAACCATGGTTAGCAATAATATATAATTTTTGTCAACTTTCTACAATATATTGTACTAATTACTTCAAAATAACCGTTGAAGCAACTTAGTTATTTTATTTCAACAGAATTTGTTAATATATTTTCCATTTATAAATGATAATAAATAATTTTAAAATACCCCTTATTGGAGTTCCCTGTTTTTACAATTTCTATAGGGAAGTTCTGGGTAAAAACGTTTCATCGATTTTGTTAATAATACATTAGCTAGGACTTAAACCATTTTATTTTCCAAAAGGAAATGAATCTAGTATGTCTTTAAAGGTATTTAAAATCGAATTTAAGGCTTTGTTTACGTCCAATTTGATGTTGATATTAGGAACTATACCATATGTGCTGGGTCCAGAGGCAGTTGTATAAGGCAGGCATAGTTTTTTTGTAGATTTTACATCTTCATTCTACAATCAAAAAAAAAATGATATTCAGTTTCCTTGTAATAGTTACAGAATAAAGTTGTCACAATCATTTTATAGTATTTTTGTATGAGTGTGTGTAATATGGAATTGTGGCAACTATGCTGCAAGGGCGGCTCCAGGGGGGCTATGGGGGCCATGCCCCCCGAGATGAAAATTCTTACGATTTATGAGCCTTTTTAAAAAAAAATTGCTAAAAAGGGAATGTCTAAAGGCAATGCCGCCCTTGCTATGCTGATATAGGTTAATTTACAAATAAAAGTCTAGATAGAAATTTATTAGTTTTTTTATATAAAACGGAATATTTTTGAAGTAGAGAAGAACAGTAGGATTGTTTTTAAATAAACAGTAACTATTTGTACGATTAGCAATCATTTTTTATTTTATTCTCGGTTTGATTCTACTATATCCTTAAATCCTATAATATCCAGAAGAGTCTTGTTTACGTCAAAATCCTTGTTATTTATACTAGACAAATATTAGGTGTGGTTTAGTTCTTCAACCTAAACCTAAAATGGAAAATAAACATGGATTCTTTTTCATATAAATTCAAAAGATATATCAGTGATTGTATATTTAATGTAAAACAGTATATATTATGTAGTGATAAGTAATGATTTATTTTAGTGTAATTTGCTGTTTATCCAAATAGTCCCGTAACAAAATCGGATACATCCGTAAAGAATCCTATAGCGTCCATTACGTAGTTTAAAATCGTATTCATAAGGTCATCGCCCATAGATAACTGCGTGGATTTTCTCACACCGCGACCCTAAAATAAAAAAAAGTACCTCAGAAATAACTCTAGTAAACTAAAGTAGTACAATTCCACACTATTTAATTATATATCTACAAATTCCCGTTCCGAAATCACGTAACAGTTTTTTTGCGGAAAATGCACAAAACTGCTACCTATAAAAAAAAGCCAAAAAGAATTTAATACAAATGAAAAGCGATTAAGAAAATATGTTTTAGAAGATTTTGGTTTTTAAGAATGGGCACCCAAACGTTTCTAAAGACCTTAACTACTCGAGAGTCCCAGGCTTTATGCACCTGTGTTGTATAGTATAAGCACAGCTTATACAATACAGCTAAAACACTCTCTTGGCGGCAACGGTTTGCGTCGATTTCGTCGCGCATCGCTTAAGCTCCGCCTTCGGAGGGAAAAGATGGTTTTGGCGTTCAGAAGCGTACTTAGGTAAGG